ATAATGTTAAATATAGACCAAAGATAAATTCTCCCTCTCTGATGTACTCTTTAAAAGTTTTTAAATTGACAATTATACGTTCTGAAAGTATAGGTTTTCAATGATCAATATAAAATAAGTGTAGTTAAAGGTCGCTTGTGTTCCTAACTTGTCCATTCAAAAAGAGCCGTTTTCCATGGTGTAAATAACAATAAAACCATATGTGTGATTTAGAGTCAATATTGTTCATGAGAAAATCCATTTGTCTTGCTCGTTTTTCTCCCTCCTTTGCAGTTGCCCAATGTTGTGAAATGAGAATCTATTCAGTTATAAGATGTGGAGAACAACCATTGCCAAGGCAAGATAACATTAATTGAAAGGTGTTTTGATCGCTTATCGGTTTTTTCCAGAATTTGAGTTGTTTGTCATTCGGCCAGGAGGAAAGTGGGTAAAAGGCATCACCACTGATTATAGTAAGTACACTCCTTCTTTTTTCGATCATTTGTGGTCTTGACAGGTGTTTTATATTGGTGTTGAAGATGTTGATTGCTGAGAAGTTGTTCATGGTAGAGAAGCTGATGTGATCGATACTACATGTTTAAGAAGTGGAAGGTATGATATATTCTCTTGGGAAGAAAAGTATATCAAGAAAAAGAGTAGCAAATAGTTCAAAAGAGTAAAATAACTGAACATCGAAATATGAATCAGATGCTTAAAATATATCGTTTGTAGTACAATATTATTAAAATATTATTTCATGTAAAAATATTTTTTATCTCTGTGTGAATTTTATATTCATTTGTATCGTCAAAAAAAGAAAGAAAAAAGGAAAAACGAAGTCAATCAAACCAACATAAGCATAGTACATTATTACCGTAAATATCATTATGAATCACTTGGCATTTTTTCAATTCAAATTTAAGCCAAAAAAAAACCCCGACTTCATTGATGATAGAAATGACGTTAGTAATGTTCAGAACTAAAATGAAACCACGAGGTGTGGCAAAGTAGTTTCACTGCAAAATGGGGGAAACAAAACTATGAATTAATAATAGGCTTGTAATCGTTTCTTAAATTTTCAGGTACAAGGAAAAACCTCAGCCATAAAGAATTATTATCATTGTTCAGATAATTGGACGGTGTTAATGCTCTTTAACTGCAAGGTTGTTGGCCGTAGGTAAGGGGAAATGAAAACGTAAACGCAGGAAGGGTGATCGTTCCCAGTTTTCATGAGAGTTCCATACAGGTAAAAGGATCCTAAAACGTAAACGTGGTCTAGGTACATTCCAACCCCCGCCTTTCCCCCCCCCCCCCCTCCATCTCTCCCGTTCCCAAAGGAAATATCAATTATTGATTATTACTCAATGAGGGTCAAGCTTGATCCTTCCCCTGACGTCACCTGATTGTTATCGTATTTCAGCCACTGGATTGATGCCTTCAAAGGTACGACAATTTGTGGGGTTATTTTAGAGCAAAATGCCTATCGACTGCATCCAGTGTCGGTAACAACTGCGGAAAGAGCCCATTCTACTTTGAAGGAGATTAAAACTAAAAAACGAAGCACCACAGGATCAGACCGCTTGTCCGCACTGATTCTTTTGCATGTCCACACAGACATCACATTAGATCTAGATGACATAATTGACATCTATGTAAGAGAGTACCTAAGAAGAATGAAGCTATGAAACCCTATGGAAGGTGATTAGTCTGGGTAGGATAGCAGTAGGGTAGCAGCCTTGCGTTTCCTCTAGATTACACCATGATTTTTAATAGCGTAACAAATGGAAAAAGAAGCCTAGAATTGGGACTGTTTGAGTGAAAGTCGTAGCGATCAACAAGCCTAAGCTAATGTGTTAACACTAGAAGAATGAACTGAGTAAACATTAGAAGAATAAACACTTTCTTTCTTAAATTTCGTTTTCTCTTAGACCTGTTTCGCGTCATTAGCAGTGATCATCAAGCTCAAGGAATAGGAACTTTTTATAATTGTCCTGTCTTGTAGTTTGGCTATTCTCGGCTTGCACGCATCACGTTCCACTTGTGCTGGTGTCTAAAGTGAAAATCAGGTTGGAGCATTCGGCAAACTTTCTACCTTAACTATCACAGCAAACATAGTCCGAGCTGCAAAATCGTGTGTTTGGTGGGCAGCTGCTGCTGGTTCTATTCAAAAAATATTTCTTCTATATGCGAAAGGGCTTCGTTCAGCATTCCTAGGATGAACGGCCTAACGAATTAGCTGTTTTGCATGAAATACTTGGGCCATATCATGAGGATATTTGTCAGCGTGACTGCTTTAAATTTAAGTTACTGACTGTTAAAAACAATGCGAACGTTAATCTTGCATATGATTGGGTAGAGTAATGAGCCAGAACTGCATGCCCACCAAAAGCCCTTTACGATTCCCGTGAAGCAGATTATCCGCATTCAATTACGTTTTCCTAGAAAAGCGGAAGAGATGATGAAGGATTCTTTGAAACTTTAGCAGTTTATTCCAATGTAAATGGGCGGCTTGATATTTGGATAACAAGGGTTTTAAGATTGAAGACGATCGAAATTGTTCACACCTTACTTAGCAGCGGTAAGACATTTCAGTTACGAACAGTACGAGCGTTAGCTTATAAGGAATGATATTGCAAGCAGAACTTAATTCAAAAATTTTCCGGGATAGAATGTCTAATGCTTCATAACCTGAATATATTCAGTTATAACGGTAATGAAGTCGCGAATCAATTGATTGAGGCCATAAACTTACTATGAAATTTGACAAGTGCATGCAAATTTGACTCAAACTCAACGCCCAGCATGGCAATACATTTATACATTAACGGTTTCTGAAATTAATTTCCGTCTGATATATATCCTATGCTATATATCCTTAACTTTCATGGCTGTTTTCCTTAACTTTTGAAGTATCTTTCCTGGTTTCTCAGTTAACGTTTGATGTTGATTTGCACTTCAAACCTTGCGTCATATCATGCTTGACGTTAGCCCGTGGGAGGTTGGAGGCAACCTGTGCGTCATTACTGCATTACTGTGCAGTTTCAAAGAATTTGTCGTCATGATAATTTGTTCCTACTCCGTCAAGTTTCCGAGAAAAACCGCAGGAATTTATTGTGAAACACGATCTCTCAGAGCCTTTTTTGTCTCAGCAAATACTGCACTTGATAACTGAATATTTTACTTCAGTCATTATTTTCGGATCCTGTGTCACTAAAAAAGACGAACAACTAAATTTACATCAAAGACAAGAAGTAATTTTCTAAAGATTAGACATTAAAATTCATCTTGAATCTCCAACCTTCCATAACAGCTCATTGTTTCGGGAGACATCATTATGCAAAGTCGCTGTGGTATCGGCTTTCTCGGAAAACAGAAAGCAACTCTGTAGAAACTCCTAGAATTTAGGAGCACCGGTCTCGAGCGTCTGTGAAAATCGTATCTCTTAATGATAGCAATTTAGAGTGCTTCCCTAAAGACGTGATCTGGTTTGCCCAGAACAACTGCAAAGCTGAAGTCATCCTTCTATTCCATCTTTGAGACGAATTGTCTTCGAATACTTTGGAAGCAAGATATTCTGACGAAAGGAAACTTGAAAATCGTTTCTGCGTTAATTGTTAATGCACTATGGATATTTTCTCCCCTCCGGGAGGTTTTTTTAAACTTTTTGTATTTCAATAAATGTCGTGTACATGAAAATTGAGTATTCAGGATGACTGCGGCCAAACAGCTTAAAGGTGTCATGAATAGGTATTGTAATCACCACGAATAGATAGTGTCTAGTTTTTTCGGAGTAATGGTAGACTTAAGCGGGAATTTTCCCTCAATCGTCAAAATTGATGCAAATTACAGGAGTAAAATCACTCAAACGAAACCAAAAATACAAAACCATCGTGCAATACATGTTTTGTTTGCGTCATTTAATTTTGACAGCTATATCCAAACTTGATCATGAGTACTTTATTTGCCTAAGTTATTTAAGATCGATATGAGAATCTTACTATCTTTTTTACTTGAAACATTTCACGGAAACTTCTTGGATTCCTAGAATCCTTACGGTCAATAAATTCCGGAAAACATGAATATTCCCCTAGATTTCCCAAAATAATATGGCGTCATGTCATGGCTCACATCAACAATTTTTCCGTTTCTATGCAGGCGCCTCTTCTAGCACGAGATTCCGACCAAATTGTGACGTGGAGCTAAATATGTCATAAATGGATAATATCACATACCAGTGTACTCAGAAGTCATTCCCAGAAAGTACCGATACATATTATTTCGACATCCACTATTTTAGCTTTATTTCGTCATTCAAGTTTCCGAGAAAATCCGCTCTGATTTTTTTGTCAACATTGCAAAAATCTGTCTTATCTTATTTACGTAATTGAAAAATTACAACCGTTAATTAAATATATGACTTTATCATTATAATGACGAATTCATCGAAAGAATAAGCAAGTGAAAAGGGAAAGTAACTAAATTGCCTACCAGCTAACATCAAACAAAACATAGTTCCTTAATCAGCAGTTATGTATGGTTTGACTCTAAGTTGACAGGACAGGCTCATGCAAATTTTACACTGTAGACACGTGCTATGATCTTTCTCGAAAACCGTGGAAAATTATTCATCATCGTGTATATCTCGATAATTTATTCCTTAATAGTCCAAAAATCTGTCTTATCTTTTTAACATAATTGAGAAATTACAACTGTTAATTAAAGATATGACTTTATCATTAAAATGACCAATTTTAACGAAAGAATAAACAAGTGAAAAGGGACAGTAACTAAACTGCACCTGCTAACATCAAGCAAATCATAATTCCTCAATCAGCAAATATGCATGGATTGACAATCAAGTTGACAGGAAAGGCTCTTGCAAATTTAACACTGATCTTTCTCGGAAATAGGGGAAATTTATTCTTCATCGAGTATTTCCTAGAACTTGGTGGGAAATTTCCCTGTTGACTGGTTATAAAACTCGTGTCAATTGAAAATCGCAATTCGTGGTTATCTGAAGACAAGCTAACGTCCCTATCCTTCTCAAAAGGAATTTGTTTTTAAAGAGCTTTATTGCGATCGTGAGTTCAACAAACGCACGCACGCATCGGTGAGGTAAGCTTATTCCGTTCCATTTTTCAAACGAAATTTCCACAAATACTTTTCCACCAAGACTTTTCCATCTCTCGAGTTAAAACAGAAAAGATAATGGCTGGCGCAGCCTCTTCTCCTGTTTCTTCTGGATCTTCTGTGCTAAATGTATCAGAGGAGAAAACGAATGGCACGAAGCTATTACGGCTGCTTGTTGACAGAGGAAGACACGTCCTACGCAATTTATTGCACTCTGTCTACCCAATGGATAAACTACAAGTCGTATTAAACAATAATAAGAAAAAGCTTCAACGGCTAAGGTCCGAAGATGTAATATTTGAAAACCAGTGGGAAATGTTATTTCCTGCTTCAGGCGATCCACCGGACTCGAAAACGTTCGACATTACACTTTTACATCTATTGCTTCGTGAAATTTGCCATCTTACGGCGCCTTCGACTGGATGGCACAACATGCCTGCAGAAGATGATAATAGTCTCGAAGCAAACATAACTCGCATCAAATATTTCCGAAATGAGCTTTTTCACAGCTTCTCTACCGGAATTCCAAACACTAAATTCGAGTACAAGTGGAAGGAGATTGCATCGTTGTTAGAGGCAATTGATATTTATGTTCTACGAAAGAGGCACGAAGTGGAAATGGAGGCGCTGAAGAATGATCCCACCGGTTACGATACAAAGCTACGTTTGGAGGAACTAGCAAAAGAATGGAACAAAATACAGGAACAAGAAAGGATTCACTCGTCAAGTTTTAGCCCTCGCAGCTGTCTACCGGACAGAATACCTGAAAAACGTGTATTTGGCCGCAACCAAGAAATAGAGCGGGTCAAGAAAATGGCCGTGGGTGGAGACGTCGCTGTTGTCCTGGTTACTGGCGGACCTGGATTTGGAAAGACGACTGTGGCTGAAAGAGTGGCTCATGAATTAGCAAAATCAGAGAAGGAAGCAACTGTGTTGTTTTGTAGTTTACTAACGAAGAAAAATTTCAAAGAAGTGGCCGAAGAAATAATTAACTCGTGTGGTACAATCAGCAGGCAAGTACCAGAGAATCCGGGACAGTGGCTAAGAGACTGGAGCAAACGAGTTCGAAACCAGGTCACGTTTGTTCTTGACGATGCAGATAGCGTCCTCGAGTCGAGCGATCGAGAATCATTTATAAGCATCTTATCTGACGTAAGAAGGTTATCGAGGCAAAAGGTAACATTTGTCGTAACTGCAAGGAAAACATTTGAGAATCCTGACTTGCAGTCTTGCGAAGTCAGGTTGGGCCCTTTGTCCGCCGAACAGGCAAGAAATCTCCTTATTTCTAGGGTGCAAGTCTATGAAGATGCCCCGCAGAACCTTTGCAGGGCAGAATACATCGCCAGAAATCTATGTGGCTGCGTTCCTATGGCACTTTACATTGTTGGATCCTTGCTATCAGACTATTCTGAAGAAACACTCATAGAGAGCCTCGAAAAGGAACAATTAGCGGTTTTAGAGGACGACCAAGGATATGTTGAAAAGGCCATAAAGACTTCGTTTGACCTTTTGACGAAACTCGAACAAGAAGCTTTCATTCTCCTATCTTTGTTCCAAGGTTCATTTGATCTAGATGCAGTCCAAGCTGTGACGCAGGCGGAATGTTCGATCTCGAGCTCCGGCGCTTTACCTATCACCATCCTGCGCTCCTTAAAAAACAGATCTCTTGTGGAGAAGCCCTATTCGCGCAGATATCAGATGCATCGGCTCATTCAGTCATACGCAAAGAAGATGGGTCGAGATAAGTATGACAAACTTTTGGCAATGGGCGAAAAACTGGCTTGTGTACACTTCATGTCGCGCCTCGCGAAGAATGCTAATATTTACTGGAGTAAGGACACATGCAAGGATTCCCTTGCATCATTTAAAGACGACAAGTACAATTTCGAACATTTTCTTCAAATTTACGCTCGAGGTAGGGAAGAACAAGATACAAAGATCGTGAACGGCTGTGAACTCCTTTTGGACAGTTTCCCTCAGAAATGCATGTATTTGGAAAGATGTCTTCATCCAAGGTTCTACACTGAGCTCCTTGAAAGATTATTGAAAACTTTTGACTCTGGAATCCAACCAGTGTGTGTAGTAGATCTTTTGTGTCTTCTTGGTCATGAATACAGGAAAAAAGGAGAACAAGAGAAGTACAAAGAGGTCATGGATGAAGCGCAACAAATTCGTTTGGTGAGTGATCCTGCATTTGCGATGAAACCGTTATCAGAAGTCTATTTTCACAACAGCAATGCTCGCTTCCTTTCTGATAAAAAAGATGTTAGAGTGAACAGACAGACTGAAAAGGAGGCTGCACTGGCTGTGAAAATATCCAGTGAACTGCTTCATGATCACCCGGAAAGAGCAGCTACTCTCCTCCTTTCAGGAAATATTACAAAGCGCAGTAAGCAGTTCGATGCAGCCAAAGAAATGCTCGAGGAAGCGTCGGAACTCTTTCAAAAGAGCCTTGGGCAACATTTTATGACTGCTGAAACCCTGAAGGCCACTGGAGACCTTTACTTCTTTCTTGATGGAAAGTCCGAAGTCGACTTTGAAATCTGCCTTAAGTATTATAAAGCTGCTTTGGAAATGTTCGACGACCTAGGAGTGGGTGAAAGCAAAGAAAGCATCTTGACGATAAAGAATTTTGGAATGTGTCACATGAAAAGAGGGAACTTTGACGAGGCAATGAATCTACTCTCGAAAGCAGAGCAAATTGCCGAACGAGAATTAGAAGAGGATCACACCTGGAAAGTCTTTATAAAGACTTCACTGGCCCTCTTGCATGAGAAGATGAATGAAGTTGAGCGGGCGATAGACGTAATGCACGAGGGACTGGTGCTGGGCAAGAAATTGAATCTAACCATATACAGGATGGGAGAAAGATATTTGATTGGAGAATTTCTAGACCGGTATCCAGGGAAGTTCCCCGAGACTGAATTCCCAAGTAAGTAAATATTGTGTTTAATACAGTGCTCGATGTTCTTGTTAGTTAGCTGTCCCATATGAAGCAGCAATTACAGCTTCTGCCTTACCATGGAAGGATAGTTTCAAAATTATCCCCACTGTTTGATATGAGGGGGGAAGGATCTTGGCCTTACACTCAATAAAATTGCAGAGGTAGCTTAAAAGCACTCATTATTGAATTGGGAACGTATTATAGTTTATATTTTAAAGCTTCCTCTCTGGGTAAGAACTTAAACATCCATAGTAAAAGCCACCTGATCTGAATATCAACATTCTTTATGAATTAACGTGAAAGAAACTTCTTTTCATCGCGCGCTTCATTTTCCTAAAAAATCCCTCTTACCTCTTTACGAGATTGCAAGCTATCAATCAGAAATTATGATTAAGTTTAGAAGCTTCTGAAGACACATTTAGGCATGTCGAGCTTTAAGTAAAGTATAAGTTAGAGAGAAGTGTTACCCTTGTTAAATTGCACTGTGATGATTCACGGCATAATTTATACTGTGCTGTTAATCTTTCAGGGAGTGTTGTCAGTCGAACAGGCCATCGAGTCCAACAGCCCCACTGGAAGAGGAAAGCTGGCTTTGGAAGAGGATGGAATCATTGAGAAAACTAAGGAAAAGGGTTGTTACTGATGGAGAGAAATTTAAATGATAGCTATGAAAAACTCGAAAACTACTAAAGTGAATCTTAGAGATGCGCAAACTATGATGATAAGGAACCAATCTTTGAAACGACCGCTGCAAATCGACTTTAAAATAATAGTTTTATATTTTAAAAGGGAATATAACGATACAACAAGAGAAAATAGGGATCTCTTAAATACAACCAATTCACTTCCGTGTAGTTTTTTTTTCTCAAATATGAAAATATAACCAATTAAATCGTTCTGAAGCGAGAGGCAGATTACCGACGATTAGCAAATAACCAAATTCTGTCAGCATGCCTCGCGCTAATTATTTTAACAAATAGATTCCATTGTGTACAAACCGAAAAGTGACAGAGCGTGTCGCCCGTGTTTTTACCACATTTAGACATTATTTGTGGACTCTTACTTTACAGACTCACGACAGCATGATGAAAAAAGGTGTCAATATTTTTATTCACTCTATTCAGAATTATTTTTTCACTTTGTAACTTAGCCGGCCATAATTTATCTTTGGGCTGGAGGGGTAGTTTTAAAAGTGATTTTAGGAAATGTAACTCTCTGATCAGTACATAGTGTAGACGTAGGCGAAAAAAAAAATGTCTTTGAGCACAATCAGTTACTCGCTATAGAAATTTGTTTCACTTCGTTCAAATAGAAATGTGGCGAAGATTATAAGCATCAACGTGTTATCACTTTCACAAGCAATCTGTCAAACTCACCAGGATGTTTAAATGTTTTTTAGGAAGGTATTAAGCGATTTTTACATTCTGTCCGCTTGATTATTTTAACAGTCTGGGTATGTCCTCCTCTTCTCGAAATTTTGCAAATTATTTTTTTTCGTACCAAAATATACTGAAAAGAATGATATAGTCTTTCCCTTTTGCTTAGAGCTGTTAAATTTCGATTGATTTGCTGAAGATACATTTGAATTAAGTCCAATAATGAAAATGGATATCTTTACAAATCGCTGGTAGCGACGATAAGTAAATTAGTGAATAAAGATTCTATCAACGAATACATTCTGTGTTTGATGAGTAGGCGTAGTTTAATGAAGGAATGGGATATTGGTGCAAACTGTTACCGTAAACGCCTAGGAATGTTAAAAAAATAATGAAATAATAAAGAACAGATTTGCAAAAATACTCCTGTAAGACTATAAAGCAAAACCAAAAACACCATATTTGTTGTAGACAAGTCCGAACTTTATCGTGGGAAAGTTGAAGACTGAAATGAAACCCTTAATGCTTCAATTTGTACGATGATTATT